GCGGCGCATTGCGCGGCTATATTTGCAGCGATTTTGACGACTCTAGCGCCGATTATTGGGGCCCAAATTTCAAGTAGAGTAGATTAGAAGGATCAGCTAACCATACACTCTACCCTACCTCAAGATTGTACCCTAATTATAGGCGCCAGAATCGTCTGAATCGCCACGAATTTTGCCGCGCAATTTGCCGCGCGCAGCTCGAATTGCACGAATGTAGACACACCCCAGGCCGGCCCACTTCGCTACGTCGCGCCTCTTGGTCTCTAGCTGCAAACTTAGAACACCCTTTATCAGAGAGCAATTATGAAGAGAAAAATACTTGAGTATTTGGAACATACATGATTGATGATACATGCGATCATTCTAAGTGATAAAGTTATCACCGAAATAGTTCAGCGAAGAACAGCTCTGAAGAAACCTAGTAATCCCGTTTTCATGACTTTTGCAAGTTTCACAGAAGCTTTTTTTGGGAATCATCAATAGTTGCGGCATAAAATATGGCACTAATATTGATGTTGAACGAAATTTTCAAGTATATTACGAAGTAATCAGGTACGCCCACCTATTGAAATGTGATACGAGGTGCCGAAAAAGAAGTAGAACAGTGGAGGGAAAAATGAAGCATAAAGGCCAAATACTGGTGGCAAAGTAGCAAGAACGGAGTATGCCATACCTGGAACGAGAAGTTTTACAATTTTGTTTTGACAGGATCAACTTAGATTCCCTTAGATCCCTTCAGAATCCCTACTTATTGATCGATAGCGAAGGAAGGGAATAGAAGATGAGAGGTACAGCTTCCTCCGTGTACCTGCCCTCAGAGAGACTCCCTGACCAAAAATTCGGGTAGGGAATTCCCACAGTCAACTTCGTCGGACCTAAGGACCCGAAAAGTTGTAACGACTTACTTTGTGGTACATTATAAATTGCCAGCGTCACACCGGCTGCAATATCAGGGAGCAAATTTTCTTGCTTGTAGCCCTGTATCCATCGAATGACAGGAATACGGTTGTAGAGGATTGACGTTAAGCCTGGAAAAGGAAATTAATGAGCTGTGAACTGTCCTCAGATTCCAATGTAATCTGACCTATCTAGAAGAGTTTTTGGCAAGCTACTAAGGCAGTCGGTGGTGTTTCACAAGAAAGTATAGCCTGAATTTTGGGACTATCTAATATCTGCTTCTGCGATGCGCCATGAGCTCGACTCCATACATAAAGTTATAACAAGAGAACCATTGACCCCAGATTACTTCATCCAAAAAAAGTGAAGTGCTCTACATTGACACCTCACAGTCGCCATTGCCATACAACTCGCTATCTCTTTGGAGTTGCAAAAGCACTTGAATTACTATATACCCGCAGATGAATAGTCCAGATTAACCAGTATTTTGCTTATTAAATTGCTGTAATCCTTGAAGGTAAGATCAGCATCGCCTGAACCCAACGGAAACTTTCATGGAGAGAATTTTAATGAGGGACCAGGAAATTTACGCTCTCAGGTCGTCTGATGCATTGCAATCCTTTCTCGAGGTAACTTTTTTTGAAGACTCCCCTACGTACTACTTCTACCAGACGAAAATTCGCTATAGCTTCTTGTACTACATAGTCGAACTCACCTTCCCTAGTACATAATTGCCAATGTAGATATCTTGACGACTTTCTGCGGAATTCTTTGATGCCTTTTGGCATCGGCCTAGTGAAACCATTCAGGCTATCGAACTCCTTCTGAATTCGAAGAATTTTTCTCGGATTGTAGTAGTTGTCGATACTGAACTTCTACACCATTTATTTTCTTAATTGCGTTATTCTCTTGAAAAATTGAATTTTATTACGGCGTAAGTAGTGTTTTGCCCGGGACACAGAAACCCTCAGGAAATTCATCAGCCCTAGTTTTTTGAAACTTTTTCAACTTTTTATAAACACTGGTAATCAAGGAGCTCACAACAGGTAAACGAAACAGCGTTAGAACTTAATATCTCCCAATCTACCGCAATGGACTTAAAAGAGCCCGTATGTTACACCTCGGTAAAGTGGGAGTCCAAATACAGAATACCTAAGCAACAGGGACCCGAACCAGGAGAAAAAGGAAGAGAATTTTATGAAAACCTTGAAAACAGAAAGACGTCTTGTAGGCCCTAGAATCCGGAGATGGCACAAGTGAAAGACCAAAA